GTATATATACTTCTCACATTCCATGTACCAGATCTCATGTCTATTTTCTTATGGTTTGGTCATCTCTACAAGTAACCTGTCCATGTCCGCAGCTTCTTCCAAACTTTTATAACAAGCTGTAAATGTGTAGGCCTGGAAACCATAATAGAAGTATCTTAGAAAGTTTCTTCAGTTTCTTTTTCATTACTACCTTTCCAGTTAAAAGGGTTGTAATTGGGACTGGCCAAAATAGTAGACAGTTTTTTTTCAGTACTATTCTACTGATATTTATTTACAAACAATTTATAAACTTCTGACTTTAGAAAATACAAATATCTGTTTATGAAACTGTTGACTTTATAATAATACAAATCTGTTTATAATTATGAAATAGAATCACAGGGTAGTCCTATTTATATAAAAAATAAATTTTGATTATAACTTAATAAATTTCTCTATTATGAATTCTAAAACTGTAAATTTTTCACATGAGAATTCCTACAAGAATCACTAATAACTCAGCTACCTTGATTGACAACATTTTCATCGACAATAGAGGGAGTTATGACATAAAACCATGCATAAATGGACAGAAAATCATGTAACAGAAAAAGAGAACTTTCCTTATTAAGTAGAGACAGTAATGATATTCTCAAAATTTATTTTAAACAATATTGTAAAATACTAACCAGTGTTATTTTAGCGGCCAAAAAATTACACTATTGCAGAATTATTGCTAATTCTAATAATAAAATAAGAAGCACATGGAAAATAATAAATGAAGAAAATGGAAAAATAAAACAAGACAAAGGTATTTATTCTATAATGACATAATAAAAAACCAAAAACAGAATTGCTGATGTTTTTAATAATTATTTCATATCTATTGCTGATTCCATTAGATTAAATAATACTAATCCCTCCGCCTATTTAACAAATGTATTTAAAAGACCCTTTACCAAAATTAGCTGGCAGTATACCTCCACACATGAAATCTAGAAAATTATAAAAACGATAAAGACTAAAGACTCTTTTGGGTATGACGAGGTCTCCAGTAGAATAATAAAACAAAGTGCTCCATTTATAATTTCTCCTTTGACATATATTTGTAATGCGATCCTGCATTCTGGTGTATTTCCAGAAAGATTAAAATTTGCCATAATCAAACCTTGCTTTAAGAAAGGCAACACACAAGAAGTTTCCAACTACAGGCCTATATCACTGTTAACTTCCTTTTCAAAAATTATAGAAAAACTTTTGTATTCGAGGCTAATCACTCATATTGAAGAAAACAGTATCTTGGCCCTCGAACAATATGGATTTAGGACACATTCGTCTACGGAGAAGGCAGCATTTTCATTGATTAAGAGTATCTCCACAGCTATGAATAATAAGCAAATTGTGGAAGGCATTTTTTGTGACCTACAAAAGGCCTTTGATTGTGTAAACCATGGAATTCTATTGGATAAACTTGTATTTTATGGAGTACATGGTATTTTTAAAACACTAATTGAATCTTATTTGACCGACAGAGAGCAAAGAGTTGCTCTGGGCCTTACAACTGCTAGTGATAATTCATCTGAATGGGAGAAAGTAAAACATGGAGTACCACAGGGCTCGATTCTTGGTCCTCTGCTTTTCTTGCTATACATAAATGATCTTCCAAAAACGATAAATACAGATAATACCATGGTATTATATGCAGATGACACTAGTATCGTAATAACAGAACCCAATAAATTAAGCTATAAAATAAATCTTCACCAAACTTTTAAAGATATAAACACCTGGTAAGGCTAATTTACTTAAACTAAATTTCAATAAAACTCAATATATGGAGTTTAGAACCACGAAACGCTACGATACAGAGACCTACATCAGTTATGAACAGAAAAGTACTCCAAGTGCAACAGTAACTAAGTTCCTTGGTTTAACTATTGATGATGTTTTATCTTGGCAACAGCATATAAATCTGATGATCAATAGACTAACTTCTACATGTTATGCGCTGCGCAACATTAAATATGTAGTAACCTTTCCAACACTAAGGCTAATCTACTTTGCCTATGTTCACTCTATCATGAGTTATGGCATAATTTTCTGGGGTAACTCCTTTCATGCCAAGAAAGTGTTTGTCTTACAAAAGAAAATCATTAGAATCATAACACTAAACCTAGGGATTCTTGTAGGAATATCTTTAAGCAATTGGAAATAATGACGTTATATTCACTATATATATATACATTACTTCTATTCATAATAAATAACAAACATATATTCAATTCCAATAATGAGATTCATGAATATGTAACTTGAACCCATGATGACTTACATGTTTCTGCTGTGAAAACAGCAAAATTTAATAATGGAACATACATAACAGGCATCAAAGTGTACAATCACCTCCCTCAGTCGATAAAGACCTTAGCCAATAATGTTGAAAGTTTTAAATCTACACTGAAGAGGTTCTTATGTCAACATTCTTTTTACTCAATGAATAATATCAGTATATTGAAGATGAGGATGTATAGTTAATCTGCTATTTAAATGGTTAATTTAATTTCCATCCTGTATAAGAATTATATTTAACAACTAATATTAAATACAAGGTATTAATAATAGTATTTTATGTTAGTACCTATGGAATTTTTATTATATACTAATTTTTCAATTTTATGAATTGTATATTTTAGACTGCTATCAAATTGTATATATTATGATTTAGTTTTTACAACATGATTGTGCCAATGATAACTATTTACCTGCATTAGTCATTACAGTACATAAAGTAATCTGACATGTTCTACATCCTAGGCACATTGTGACCAGAGAGGATTCATGGAATTTTAAAATGAATGAATGAATTGTCACATTTCATTATCCAGAAACCGAAGGTCATCTAAAGTTGGCATGCTAATCCAAAAATTACTTATGCTTTGGTCCAAATAATTCAAAATTTCTACAGGTTCCCAAGTATATTCAAAATCATTGTCAAATTGTAGGTTTGGCTCCTCAAGTATACATTTGAAAATGAAGGAAGCCTCGTCAATTCCTTCTGCAGCAAAACCATCAAGCAGCATGGTCTCGACTTCTTGAGCAGCAGGCATCCGTCTTCTTTTTCCACTGCACGTCTTGATAGTGGTGAACGCAGAAAAATGGGGCCTCTTATTTGCCCTCCTGCCTGATGGTGACGCTGCTTCTGAGGCCAGCTGTGGATTTGCAGTCAGACGGCTGTGTAGATTTCCCAGTCCTGGATTAATCATCAGTTTACAGCCATCTGTCCCAAATATGTCAAGGACCTGCAATCACATACAGTACAATCAGAAATATGTACATTACCTATTTGCATGAGGCCTGAACTATTTCTACATCTAAAACTCAAGAGTTATAACAAGTTGCTTGACTCGATGGATGCCATGGAGACTACAGCGACAATGTCACGAAAACAAGAAGCTGAGATTTTTGTTTGTATATGTACTGTTATCGCAAGTAATACAATAAAATACAACTTTCTAGCCTGGAGACCAAAATTCTACCGTGTCATGAAATGTCCCTTCGAAAGGCTTTTCTGGTTTAAATCTGTGCCGCCATATAAGCTCAGGGAAGCAGGGGAAAGAAATGCTGAGTTTTGCTTTTCCCTAAATGTGCTCCTGTAGTTGGAACAACAGATAAATNGCAGCCCCTATCTAGACAAGTACTCTCTTCAGGGATGTGATGGGAGGTACTCCAGCAGGAAGTCCACCAACATTTAGGAGGGTAAATACTGCCTCCATCGTCTGGGTTTGAGAGTAAGCCAAGCAAGAATCCAGAATGAATCAGGCAGCATCAGCTTGCAGTCTGAGTCTTATTACTCTCCTTCTTGACTTACTCTTTGACCGTGTAGAGAGAGAGGTAGTGCGTTCCTCTGGCATGTTGGTGGCCTTCTTCATTATATCGCAGAACACACAAATCTTCGTAGTTATCACTGTGAGAACGTTAAATCCAACGAACACTAAATCACGATTTCAAGTTTTTCACAGGAGTTCATATCTTTAAAAACTATGACTATTACAAAACAGGTTTCAGCAAATAAATATGTACAAAAATATACAAATACATATTTAAAATTTGGATGTTGGGTATCGTCAGCTCTGCTTGCTACCTCTCATGATCAAAGAGTGAAGGATTGGTTATTTCCCATATTTGTATATTAAACATGACATGACAAGCCTTCCTTTCAGGTGCTTTAGAAAATAGAGGCAAAGAAAGTTAGGCCACTTTCTTATGGCTATTAAAATACTTTACCTCCGATATGTAAATGTTCTTTTCTGTCTCAGGTGATGAATCCCACGCAGCCAACAGTACTGAATCCAGCTGCCATTCCGAGATGTTGCGGAATATGCAGCAGTAGAGGCTGCGGTTCTGCCTGCAGAAAACCGATGTAGCTGCTGGCAACACCTCTGTGTGGCTGACATTTGGCGGGTATGCTGGAAGTCCCTGCACAACATACCCAGTTTTCAAAATAATGAAGTAAATTAATTGCACCTAGGAGTATGGTCAAACACAGATTATTATACAGCAACATCTCCTATTTAATAAACATATATTAGAAAGGAGAGATTTATTCCCAGCAAGTAATGGAATCAGCTTTCACACAACTGTGATTCATATGAAGACACAATCATAATACGAAGATGTCTCACATTCATGTTCATTTATTTCAGATTCAAGCAGATCCAGATACAGGTTGAAAAGTATGTTCACAAACCACTGGATATAGAATGAGTCAATATATCAGAACAATTGTGTTCCAGTTTTTTTGAAAACCATATTTATTAGGATTTAGAATAACATATTTTTTAAGATTATTCTTCTTTCAAGAGAGGCTTTATTACTAAGTATTTTAGTCTCTCAGGAAATGAATCAGACTGTATTATTTGTAACATGTGGATTTATCATACAAGACTTGCTGAGAATTTAATTTACACTGAAAATGGGATGAAAATAGATTTACCTTAATAACCCCTTTAATTACCTTATCTATTAAATGACAAGCAGAATTACTTGACTGATTTAGATCAAGCACAGAATCAGATTTATAGGATTTGATTTTATCTTCTCTATTATTATTATTAAAATTNATGACACTTCTGGCCCTTGTTCTTTTATGTCTATCATTTGCATCATTTAATTGGTTGACCATAAAACATCATTATATCTCGTTACAGGTGGTCTTTTAGATCTTTTGGATACTCTCACATTACTTAACATTACTTCTGTTAACCATACAGCAGCAGGGACCTCACTTTCCATCAACGAAATGCGATACTTATTGTCCTTAGTCCATGGTAGTGTAATGATTTTATTATCCCGTCAATTCAGCTGTTCATTTATATACTGTCCAATAATTCTTGCCACTTTTTCTTTCCCTTTAGAATTCAAGTGCATCCCATGACGGGTAAAATTTTCTTTATCCAAAGAGAGGTCAAGCAATTTTACGTGTGACATAGTATTAATCAATTTTCCTAATTTTCTGTTAACAGTCTGAATTTCACTGTTAATACAAGAAGACTTTTCCTGGTCGTATGTATGCAGAGCAGCAACAAGTATATTAGTATATTGGTGCTATAATGCAAAATTAGTGATGAGTTTTAAACCTTTGGAGCTTTGGAGGGTTCACTTTTATTAATATCGTTTCATCCACCACAGATGACACAATCCTCACAATTCAATCCTCTTAATATCCATGCTGGCGGCTTGAGTTATGTTCAGGAGTCCTGCACCAGAGCATCACATTGCCCATAACCTCAAAAAATTCGCTGTACTCGCGTAACAAACTTGCAGCACAACCTCTTGCATGGCTATCACCAATTATTAAAATTTTATTTGTTGCAGATCGAGCTGTTGGTAATACTAATATATGCATGTTGTTTCTGTTGTATATGTTAGTAATACTTATATACATATGTCGTACAATCTAACCACATGGCTGTCCCAGTACCGCCCGGTACGGTTCCAGGCAGTGTGGTGGTAAGTTAGTTTTTCGTATGCGCACGTGCACGCTAGTGCGTATACCAGATGATATTACTGGATGTAAAAGTGGAAGTGTGTCGATCAAAAAAAAAAAAAAAATAAACGAAGGTTTTACAGCAGGTTATGGGCCCAGGACGCTAGCACTGCATGTAGTATATAATTAACTGAAGAGTTGTGGATATTTTTGAGTATTATCAAAGATGTCGAATCCAACTGCAACCTTGCCACCGATTGAAAAGCTGGACGGTTGTTTAAATTATTCTGATTGGAATTTCGGAATGATGCTTTATCTCAAAGACTTGTCCATTTGGAACAGTGTAAATGAATACCCAACAGGAGATACTACGACCGAAACACAGAAGACCCAGCATGATGCAACGGCCCTAATAAAGATTGGCCTCATGGTCAAGCCCACTTGTTATCCTATCATTCGTGATGCAGAAACAGCTAAATCTGCGTGGGAAAAGCTTTCTGTAGCTTTTGAGGATGATGGCCTGAATCGAAGATGTCAGTTATTGCGCAAACTGGGACAATTGAGGTTAGAACAGTTTGAAAACTTGACTGAGTATACTCATGCTTTTGTGGACATTGCTGATAAGGTGCGGTCAATGAAGAAACATAATTTTCACAAAAATGTAAGGGGGAAAAATAGGCAATTTGCTATGAAAAAATGTAAAACTTCTTGCATCAGCCATTCTATACCTGAACATGGACTATAGGGAGAGGAATTATGATAGGAAAGCGAAATGAAATGGATGAGAAAGGATGTGGGAGAAGGGAGGGAATAAGATAAAGGTATGGAAGGAACAGAGAAATGGAAAACAGGTACGAGGAAACTCTCATAACATAAGTGGGAGGAGAGGAATAATGAGGCAGAAAAACAAATTGGAAAGGAAAGTAATCGAGGAGGAAAGGAGATAAAAGATACAAAAGGAGTAAAAGTGAGGAAAGAAAAGGGGGCAAAATCGTCAGTTATCAACAGGTTTACTACATAAGATAAGATTTGAGGTTCTCACAGCAGTGTCTATGAACAATGCCATCTTCTGGGATGTGGCACCATGTAGATCTTGTGTAAACCGACGTTTCATGGGAACATATCGCCTCTATCTTCAGGGTAGAAGTGATGGAAGCAATGCATTCCTCTGAAACATTGGTTTACAAAAGATGTACGTGATGCCACATCCCAGAAGACAACATTCTTCAAGTTTACTAGAGTTTAAAGGCAGATTATTCATAGGACAGACAAGTAACTCACCCCAAGCAGTAAACCAACAGCAGCATACCCTGACCTTTCACAATTCCAGCAACTTTAAATATTTTCACAATATTTGATGCCTGTTTCTGTGGATAGACATAACACACCACAACATTATTCTTAGTGCAAAGGATCTTCTTGATGTCTATTCTGTCAACTCTTCAATAGAAGTTTTCTGAGTATTTTGTTTGGCCTGGAAATGTATTCCACAAACAAGAATGTGTAATAACAGAATAAACTGAACATGAGAGGAAATGAGAAAGAGCTGTAAGAGAATCATTTGGAGAACAGTGAAAGATTATTTGGGGACATAAGGTAGCGCAATTGGTTGATGCACTATGCTACAAGCCAGAAGGTACTGGGTTCAAGTCCCGATGAGCTGGATTTTTATGCAGTTTCCCTAATCCTTCCAGCTGCACTATGGCCCCGGAGTCGACTCTAACAGAAATGAGTACTAGGATTCTTCCTGTGGTGTAAAGGGTGGCCGGCATGTGGGGCTGACAACCTTACCACCATCTGTGAGCCGAATGGCTAGAGAAAATGTGGGAGCCTCAGTATCTCACAACCCTATGGGCCTTCACAGCCTGTTACTGGGATAGATTTACCTTTGTTTTTTATCCTATGAAAGGTTATTTAGAGACGACTGTCTTCTATAAAGTGGCCTCATGTAGTCTGACAGATATTTTACCAACACGTCACAGGAAAACACTGCTTCATCTACAGGGTAGAAGAGAAAACATTGCTAATCAAGCAGTCTCCTTTATGGTTACTGCTGCTGTGAGGAACTCAAATTCCGCAAAAGGTAATTTCTGTACAATTTATATTATGCACTGAATTTTACTTGAAAACGTTGTCCAGCTGCTGGTGTATGTACTATAAGGTTACTGCAGGCTTTGCTTCTTTCAGTGGCTGACACTGCTACTGGAAAGTTGAAAAAAAGATATAAATCACTTGGAACTTGTCAAATTCCAGCAGAACTGACCCATGCAAAAGGTAAGACATTACATTCTCATTAGATAAATTTCTGCTAGGATGTGATTCCATGCTATCTGGTAAAACGTCACCAACATTTAAAAAACAATTCTTTTACCCTGAAAATGAAAACAGCACATGTTGGTAACAATCTACCAGGCTACATGGCATCATTTCCAGAATACATTCAGTCATTGTATTTAAATAAGAATGAACTGTCACAGCAGCAGATAGAATCCAATTTCTTACCTATTTATGAAAACTGTGCTAGAAGTGATTGTGGTTATCAACAAGGAATGTATGATTATTTACAGTTCACTTAACAATATTGTAAGTAACTCAGACCACATATTGATAAATGATTAGATGATTTTTTTTTTCCTTTGGTACTACAGCCCCAATTTGGGCCTTGGCCTACTTCCATGAAACTCTCTGTTTCACTTTGGTTTACTACGTTTTAGGCATTTGGTAGGACTCCTTGGGCAGGTGATCAGCTTGTTGCAAAGCCTCTACCTGTACACACACACACGCACACAGGAAAACATGCATACCCTGCGTAGGATTCAAATCCACGATTCCAGCTTCCAAGCGAGAAAAGACAATGCATGCCCTAGAATGCTCGGCTACCATGGCCGGTGATCAGATTAGTGAATGCTGAATTGGAGAGGACTTGGAAGGAAAAGCCCTATGCCAATATTGGGAAGAGAGACAAAAATCTCATTCAGATAGTTAGTCTCTTGGCTGAGATTTGAACCCTGGACTTCTTGATTATGAAGTAGGAGTGATACCCACTCAACAGCAAAGTTATGAATATTGGAGGGGCTAAGGGGCAGAAGTTCTGAAATAATACACTCCTTTGAAAAAGACAGCAAATCTTCACACACAGTCATACTTGGTTATGATTTCATCCAAGGGTTCGGAGAAATTGTGTTGTTACAAATGAGTGTCGTACTAACCGATGATGGGAGTAAATTGGGTTTCAAGAAGAAACGTCTATGATCGTTTTATGCAGCACGAAAATTCACTTTAAATCTAAACTACATCTTACAGTATATATAAAAATGATAACTTAAAAATATGTACATATTTATTGAAAATTTAATGTATTAAAATAACTGATGCTGCAGAATTGATACACTGTGCATAATAAAACTAAAATCTTAAAAGATTTAAACAAAGATACATGTTATTTTATTCTGCTTTCATTTTGTCTAACACTGGTTCCATGCAAAGAAGTGGGGTGAGAAGAGGGTGCCAGATGTAGTTATAAACAAACGCATGCCCTAAGGGAAGCAGAAAAACATGTTATATGAAGATTTTAATTAGTACCTGTAGCCAAGGTGTTGCTACAACCGAGGTCACTATAAACAAGTTTGGCTGTATTATGTTTAAGTGAGCATCGCACGGTGGTACACAAGCTGCTGCGCCTCACAATTTCTGGTTCCAATGGTTGCAAAAACCTACAGAGTGGAGATGTGTGTATTTTTGTTAGAAAAGATCAGTGTTTCAACAAAGTTGATATTTCTCACTACTGTAAAGAATTTTAGAAATCTGTGTAATTCAGCTGGAAACTAATACAGCTAACCTAATTATATCAAGCTTCTGCAGAGCTCGCTCAGGGGATTGCAATTAATTTTTTAAAAAGACTACAATCAAACTCCAAAATATCTGTACAATCCAAAATCTAAGTTTATTCTCTGTAGGGAAATCGACATTAACTATCTCAATGATAATAACCGAAAAATAAACAAACAATGCAGTAAAAGGAAACACCCAGCATGAAGAAAAACATGAATGCATCATGGGACTACCAAACACAATGCAGGAGGAAACACCTATCATGACGAAAAACACAAATGTGTGATGGGACTACACATCAGGTATTATAAGTGCAAAATGCAAGCATAGCAGTCTCCACAAACAGTTTTAAAACACCTGATGACCAATGATGGTCATACATGTAGTGTATAATGTGGTTTTAGATAGGTTTAAAAAGACTCGTGTGTATGTCTTTAAAACAAAGTTTAAAAGTGGTGGTGTTGCGTGTAAGAAGGAATATCAGACATAAGTAAGGTAAAATTATCCTTGTAACAGGCCATGAAGGCCCATAGGGTTGGGAGAGGTTGAGGCTCCCACATCTAGACAGTTGGTTCACAGATGGTGGATAAGGTTGTCAGCCTTACGCACCGGCTGCCCTTTACCTCCCAGGAAGATTCCTGGTACTCATTTCTGTTAAAGGCTAAGTCAACCCCCGGATCACAGCAAGTCTCGAAGGATTAGGTAAACTGAAAAACATCCACCCCCTTGGGACTCGAACCCGCGACCTTCAGCTTGTAGCATAGTGCCTCAACCAACTACGCTACTGCATATGCTCTGGAATATCAGAATGTGCAACAGGATGCTACAATTTAACCTTATGAGGAACTTCTTTGTAAATAGAGCATAAAAACATAATAAAGAGGGTATCATGAAAGGTCCTGGTTAAGTTCCAGGGGGTTCAACACCATGACTACCATTATTGTTTGATAACCCTGTCGATACCTCCCTCGCATTTTAATAAATCGATAACTAGTGATCTGAAGAGAATTTGGAAGGAAGT